TTTTATGAAACATTACTGTTGATGTCTCTGGGCTCTTTCTAATTTAGAAAGTGAATTACACTTTTCTTTAATATATCAGCCCAATTTTTAAAACATGATACAGAATCTTAGCAACTGAAAGCAAACTTGGCCTTTTGTTTAAGTAAGCAAATAAACCGAGGTAAACGTAACTCAAAAGCATATGAAGATACTGGGTATCACAGACTAAACCTAATTGAACTCCTAGAAGGGTCAATTTTAGACAAACATTTTTGAATATTGATGTGACTAAGCAAAACATCATATGCAGCGATAAACCCTTATGAATACACACACACACACATGAATGTACTGGGAACTGAACCCATCCCTTCACACTGAGCTACATCCCTAATCCATTCAGAGACAATGTCCCACTAAGTCACCAACTCTTTGAATTTTCAGGCTAGGCTTGAACTTTCAATTCTTCTATCTCATCCTCCCAGAGGGTTGGGAGTACAGATGTGTGCCATCATGACTGACTTCACATAAATTTTTGCATAAATTTTAACTTTTACACTTCAGATTTTCCTGCTATTAGGAGAATCAATGTTTGACCATGCTATGGTTTAAATAAGCAATGTCCCCTCAAAACTCGTGTAGTAAGGGCAGTAACCTCATCAAATAAGCTCATCAATGGATTAATCCATCAGTGAGTTCATAGGTGAGGTAGGGCTCAGTTGCAGGAATTAGGTTGTCAAAAACATGCCTTTGAAAGGTCTGTACCCCTTCCTTTTTTCTCTGGCTCTGCCTTGCTCTCTCTTCTTTCTGGTTGCCATAATGTAAGCAGATTTCCTCAACCATGATGTTTCTGTCTTGGAGGTAGCTGACAATGGGCCAAAAATCTAAAACCGTGAGCCAAAATAAATCTTTTCTCCTTTAAATTATGCACTGGAGGTATTTTGTCCCACAACAAATAGATGATTAATAAAGACCAGCCCCAGAAATTCCATCTACATGTTGAGGACATGGTAGTTATAAAGAAGGCTACGAATTATCAAATATATACTACATACAAGACACCATGGTTTGAGCCTTCCATTATTTCACATAGTATTCATACTACTATCAGGTAATAGCAATAAACTGTTATTTTCATTATACAGGAGAAACTATAGGTAAAATAACTTTCCAGCTAGAAAAGGGCAAACTTAACATTTAATCCTAAGGCTGTCTGGCTTCAAAGCCTGTGATTTTTTTGTTTGTTCAACACAGAATCTTGTTATATAGCTCAGGCTGGTCTTGAATGAATTATGTAACCCAGGATAGTCTCAAACTGGTGGAGATCCTCCTGCCTCAGCCTCCTCAGTGCTTGGATTAAAGGTATGTAGCATGCCTGGTAAAGTATGTGATCTTAACTACAGCCTTTAAAGTCTAAAATTGGGGCAACCCGCTTGGGACCCTTCTGTCTCTCTTCAGACAGAAGCTTTCTTTCTCTCAATAAACATATTCTGCTTTTAGCCTCCATTGTTCCTAGCTCTTCCACTGAGATCACTGGATGGAGGTGAGAGTTTGCTTTTGTTTCATAGACTCTGGACTGGGACTCATTTAGGTACTCTATGAAAGTCCCTAGAAAAGACAGCGTCCTTGGCAACCTGTTGGGGACCCCTTCTGTCTCTCTGCAGACAGAAGCTTTCTTTCTCTCAAGAAATATATCCTGCTCTTTAAAAAAGTCTAAAACTGAGGCACAGAAAATTCAATCTTGAATTCTAAAGATACTTAAAGTCATGTATCTTTCTGTTTCTCAAGTTTTCCCAATATATAAGGACTCAGAAGCTCATATAATATATATGCTCATGGTAACTTACTTGAGAGCTAAGAAAACCACAGTCAAATGATGTACAAGAATGTTTATGGCAGCCTTGTTTACATTAGCCAAAAAATAGAAAGTACCCAAATGTCTATCAGTTAAACAAAATGCCACACACATACACACAATATAGAATATTGTTCAGTCATAAAATGAAATGAAGTACTGATACACAGATGAACCTTGCAAACATGATGCTAAGTGAAAGAAGCTCTGCACAAAAGCCATATGGTATGATCTTGTTTATATGAAATGTCCCAAATAAGAAAATCTATATAGAGAGAAGGTAGATTAGTGGTTGCCAGGAGTTATAGGGCTTGAGGGCTGGGGAATAAGGAATGACCAGAGACTGCTAATGGGCACAGGATTTCTTTGGGGAGAATGTGAGGTATTCTCTAGCTAGCTAGTGGCAATGACTGCCCAGCTACATAAATAAGTAAATATCACTAAATTATATACTTTATAAGTAAATTTTATACTGTGCTAGTTAGTCATCAATAAAGTTGTACTTTTGTTTTTTAAAGAATAACCACCTTGGAGTACATGGAAGCCAAAGGAAATAAATGTAAAAATACTTCGGGAAAAAAAATCACAGAAATATACTTCATATGTATAAAAACATTATATAAACTGCACAAAAAGCATGGTCTTCTAGTACCTCTAGTGGTTGCTATCTTGTCCTAGGACCTGGGAGAATCCTGATTTGCTTCAAAATATTTAATCCACTAGTCCTGAATATCCCGTTAATAAAATATAATCTAAACTTGTGGCTAAACCCCAGAGACTTGGCCCACTTAAAATGAAAAAGGAAATAAAGCCACAAAACCATCCCGGGCTTATATTCAAGGTCAGAGAAGATAACATCTTCCGTAGATCTAGATTCTTCTTCTATTCTTTTGGAAGTACTTTATCAAGATTGTCTATAGTGAAATGAAGAAACAACTACTGATTTAGTCAGCATCAACCCTGAAACAATCCTTACTTTTACTTGCTGTTCATCTTAAAACACATTATCTCACTTTCATTTTGAAATGTTTGCAATCAGCACAAATTCTTACCCCCATTTTAAAGAAAGGAAACCAAGGCACGAACAGGATTATCCAGTTAATGAGAAGCAGAACAATTCACGGGTCTGTGGATTAGCATTTGTTTTCTCTTTTCATCTCTATCTTGGTCACCTATTGTTCACCAGATTACAAAGCAGGGTTGAGTCTGCACTTATAACATGAACTTGGCCCTCAAGAAATCTTAATCTTCCCTTTGACTTTTCCAATTTGTTGTATTCATTCATTATTGGAATTGCATTAAATGTTTTTGAACAAATCAATCACTCAACCTGGTTATGGTTAGACTTTTCTTGGTTAATCTTTCATGAATAATGAACAACTAAAAACTTTTCCATTTTTTACAAGGATAGAAATTCCTTCCCCGTTGTTGGAGAAGATTTTAAAACTGATTCAGAAACACTGTGTTCAAGTTGACCCCATGAACTGACTAGAGTTCGGCAGACTGCATTCTTCAGACTGGTTCTCTTCTAGATGGGATTGGATTCTCTAGATGGGAAATCTGCAGGCAAGATCTTTAGCTACTAATGGAATTCTCGTTTGACACATGTATTTTATTTCCCTGAAACTCACTATTTCCTAAGATATTAGCATTATTTTCTTTCTCCTTCCTTCTCTACTGAGGATTCACTTCAAACTTTCTTATGAGGCATGAGGCTTTCACCAGTCTCAGAATACCAACTGTAAGCAACTATGTCACAAAAAAGTAAAGTAACCTCATACACAGAAGATCCAGGAATTTACCATATAGCTACCCTACCTAAGACTCTCTCCAAGTACCTAATACTAACCAGACAGATCACGCAGTGCTCTTTGAGAACAGTATTGAATAGAGGAAGTTCTTTTCTTTCCAGTAACTGAAGAGTTAGTAGTTTTATTTTCAACAGTTAAGAAAGATCAAGGTACAATGGTAAATCTAGGCCTTGATTTTCAAAAGTAGGTGGATTTGCAAAGCAAGGTATTAGTAACAATACTGGATTTATTTAAAAAAAGTGTGTTCTTTTAGATTTCCACTCTTTCAGCCCTTGGGTCTCCTTCAGTTTTGACCTTGGTTAGTTACTTAACATTTTCATGATGCTGAAGAATTTTTACTTGACGTGAAAGTAAAACAAAATTTAAATACACATACTCTTATTCATAGTTCTCAAATGCAACATCAGTGAAAATCATTTGCTCTACAAAATTCCTCTAAGTTTTTCATTTTTGAGACAGCATTTTTACTTAAACTAAATGAGGGCTGGAGCCAGGTGTGGCGGCACACTCCCATATCTAGAGAGGCTGAGGCACAAAGATTGTTGCAAATTTGAGACCAGCCTGGGCTACAAAGTGAATCCAAGGCTAGCCTAAACTGCACACCAAGACCCTGTCTCAAAAAGACAAAAAATAAATAAATAAATGAATGAATGAGGGGGCTGGGGATTTAGCTCAGCGGCATAAGCGCCTGCCTTACAAGCAGGCAGTCGTGAGTTCGATCCCTGGTACCGATAAAAAGGAAAAGGAAAAAGACAAACAAAACAAAACAAAACAAAAAACAATGAATGAATGAGGACCAGGAATATAGCTCAATGGCATAAGTGCCTGCCTGGCAAGTCCTGAGTTCGATTCCTGACACCAGGAAAAAAATGAATTAATAGAAATTTGACCAGAGATGACAGACTTTCTCTAGATAAACAAATCACAGATTTTTGAGCTATAAGAGACAACAGAAATCAGTAAGCACCAGGACACACACCTATAATCCCAGCACTTGGGAGGCTAAGACAGTAGGACTGTGATTAATCTGAGGATAGCCTAGGCTATACAGTGAGCTCAAGGCCAGTCTGAATTGCATAGTGAGAGCTCTCTCAAACAAAACAGAACACAACCCAAAAAACCAAAGGCAACAAAAATCAAGGTTTTGGTTGGTTTTTTTTTTTTTTTTTGGTGGCACTGGGAATCGATCACAGGGCCTTTCGCATACAAGGGAAGATGTCTACCACTGAGCCACTGAGCCACATCCCCAAATGGCTCTTAAGCTATACATTTGACTGGCATTATACAGTAACAAGCTTTTTTTTTTTCTTCAAATTTTAATACTTTACACCATAAACTGTTAGCTTGTGACTTACCCTGCTGAGTTGATCCAGTAACCTTTGGTTCTGTTCTGACAGTTCCTGGACAGCCCGTGTTTTTTCTCGATCTGCCTCCCGAAGATGAACCTGCTGCCTCTCCAGTTCATCCTGCAGCTGTTTCACATCACTCTCCAGCTCGGAAACTCGCCCTTCCCATTCCCCTTCTCTGTTCTCAAATCGTCTTCTTAGTTCATGTTTCTCTTGTTCTAAGTGCTGGGTGAAAAGTGAAAAGGATTTAAAAACTGTTAAAAATTCCACAGCCTTTTGTTTTCTTTTTTACACTTTTTTTCTCACTAAACACAATAAAACAGCCTGCCACACAGGACAAGTTGTCCAATTCAGCTTCAAAAATATTCCTTCCTTCCAGAGCAAGAAAGGAACTGGTTTCACAAGAAAACACCATTCTTACTGAAAATATTTAAATGTTATATTTAGTCTCCTGGACACAAGGCTTAGATTTACAAATTCACTTGAAATTTATCAAGCCATCTAATCTCTTGGTGAGCTATACATTTAAACAACTAAAAATGAGTCCCATAGCCAAGCTACTGATTACTTTTTTTTAAAGAGACTTATTTTGGAACCATTTATTATATATGGATTAATATCATACTCTTATAATCATAGAATTTTCAAAGATGGAGCAAATCCCTGAGATCCTTTAGCTGTCTCTCTTTACAAAGGAGGCAATGTAAGTAGCTGAGTTACTCGTTATATGTCTTTTAAATGGAAGAATAGTGATTTGTATAAGTCACTTTGTTGAATGTTCTAAATTACAGTTTAACAAATATTTGTTGCTATATATAGTACTGTATTTCAAAATCATTAAGGCAAGTTCAGGTTCAGGCCTACTTTAAATCTTATTAACAAGCTTTCCATATTAATGTCTGGTTCATTCACCTTTTTTGAGTGCTGGTAAACTGCTTATGAGAAATGGCATGCAGGCAAGGTACAGATAATAAAAAAAAAAGGGGGCAAATATGTGTGAGCTGGACATGATGCTTGCCTGAATTCCAGAGCTCTGGGAAGGTAAGGCAGGAGGATCTCAAGTTTGAGCCCAGCTTGGGTGACTTAGTAAGATCCTGTATTTCAGGGGTAGGAATACTGTTCGTGCAAAGGCCTTGAGTTTAATACCAATACTAGGGGCTGGGAATTTAGGTCAGCAGGCATAAGTGCCTCCCTTACAAGTGCAAAGTCGTGAGTTTGATTCCCGGGACCTCAAAAAAAAATTGCTTTCTTAATCCCCAATTCTAGAAAAAAGAAAGAAAAGGGAAAAAAGTACAATCACCAAGTCTATACTTCAGTGCAAGTTAAAGTAACAATCGTCAATCTTTGCTGCTTTCAGTAAAGTTCTGATGTAATTATTCAAACTACACTGACCCAGAATCCAGTTCCTGAGATTGTGATGTGGTTAAGAAGGGAATGAGGTCTAGGCAAGCATATGCAAATATGTATGCATTTGCAGAGATTGTTTCTACAACCTAAAATGAGCACCTAAATCTTCTTCAGAGAACTTGGTCATCTCTTTTTCTTATGAAGCTATACTCTTGTTCTGTTGACATTCTCACTTTTCAGGGGGGATTACTGGGAATCAAATTCAAGACCTAATGCTTGCCAGGCAGGCACTGTGCCATTGAGCTAGATCTCCAGCCTTCTCACCTTTCAAAATATATTTTAAAATGTTTTTGGAAAGCCTCAAGGGCCAGCTTATTGTCATGCAAGAAAAATCAATCCTATTTCTTCACATCTGAGGCACATCTAAAAAAATAAGATTATCTCATTTAATCCTACCATCATTTCTTACTTTGCGCTGAGTGACTTTTGAATGTTTCTGAAAGTCAAATTTAACCCTAAAAGAAAATCTGCCATGATTAAGTGTAGTCAAAAGAATATGCCAGTCGGGCATGGTAGTGTACACCTGTAATCCTAGTACTTGAGAGGTGAGGCGGGAGGATTGTTGCACATTTAAGACCAGCCTGGACTGCAAAGTGAATTCAAGACCAGTCAAAACTGCACAGTGAGACCCTGTCTCAAAAAGACAAAAAAAGAAAAACAAAAAAAAATATGCAAAAGATAAAAATGGTATTCCAAAATTAAAATTCTGAAAATATAAGCAAAGGCAGTTTTCACTGAAAATTCCAAGTTGACCACTTTATGATGATCACTTACTTGGCTGTAGCCACTGTAATGCATTTGTTGAAAAAGTCACAAAACTTGGGCCGGGGATTTAGCTCAGCAGCATAACTGCCTGCCTTGCAAAAGTCACAAAATTTCATGTTGGGAAAACAATGACCAGGGAAGAACTGTTAACCAACATGAAATCTGTTTCTTTGTTCTGGTTCCCTAACAGTGTTAAACTTCTAAAAATGAGAATGTTTTAACCATTGTAGAAACTTCAAAGTACAAAAACAAATGCTACCTACAATCCTAACACCATCATTGTTAGTTTTACTAAATTTTTCCAAATGAAAAAGACTGAGCAGAAGGCAGTAACAAGCGCTACTGAGAAGCCAGATAAATTAGGTTTATGTTCTAAAAAAACAGAGAAACTTAAAAATATTCAACAAACAGCTGCTAGTGAACATCCCAACCAAGCAACTAAATAATCCAATCCACTTGAGGGGAAGGACTGAAGTGGTGGTACTGATCAGTCTAATCTGTATTGATCTTTTTTTATAAGAAACAAATCCAGTACTTTGGGTTTCCTAACCCCCTTGACAAAATCAAGACTGTTCTATTAAAAAACAGACAGAATTTAGTCTTTTGCACAGAATTTAATCTTTGATCTACTTAGAAAAGCAAGATTTTTCTTAGACCTTTATTTTCATGTAAGTTTTAAATTAACCAGTAAACCCTAGCAGAATGTCAGGAAGTGTGGAGGTCAGACTGTTTACGCATTCCTTTGTTTTTTAAGGTTATACAGTATTTTAAAATATCAAAATTATGAAGGTGATCAAAACAAGAAAAGTCTAATAAACTGCACAATGAAGAGAAACCTAAGGAGATATAAGCACTAAATGTAATACAGTATCCTGAATGAGATCCTGGCAAGAAAAAGGCATTAAGTACAGACTAAGGCAATTTGAATACACTAAGGACTTTACTTGGTTATAATGTACCAGTTCTAGTTCATTAATTTTGGCAAATATAGCACACTAATATAAGATCCTGTTAAGAAACTGGATGTAGATACACAGAAACATACTGTACCATTTTTCCAGTAAGTCTAAAACTGATCTTTTTTTTTTTTTGTCTTTTTCCTTTTTATCGGTACGAACTCAACTGCCTGCTTGCAAGGCAGGCAACTATGCCACTGAGCTAAATCCCCAGCCCCTAAAACCGATTATTTTAAGTAACAGTCTATTTAAAACTCCAAAAACACAAAAGTTATGTCTTTACCAAAATTGATTTTTTGGAAACTATTATTTTTATTTAAAATAATGTTACTAATACATATTTGCAGTTCATAATGATTACATTCATCATGGCAAGTCGGTACATGTATACAACACAACTGAATTCTTTTTCTGTCTCCTTATTCTCTCCAGAGAAAAAAATTAAAAAAGTAAAACTATTCTCCTAAGTCAAGCATATGGTTCTTGAAATACACAAAGAAAAAAAGTACTATTTTCCAAGACGACCCAGAACTGAATGTAAAATCAAGATCTTTAGGTTTGCTTCTCTAAATCTGACAGAGACTCATTTTCACCATCTTCTCTCCATCTTAAACAGTTGTACAGCTGAGCATAGCGCACCAGCTTGTGATCCCACTGCTCAGAAGGCTGCGGCAGAAGGACTGCGGGGCAGCATGACACTTTAGCAAGACCTTGTCCAAAATTTGAAAAGGACTGGGTGTGCAGCCTAGTGGAAGAACTTAAGCACAGGACCTGGGTTCAATCCCTAGGACTGTGTCCCCAAATATGTACTAGAATTATGAGAATTGGCTCACAGGAAGACAAAAACATAACTGAGGGCAGAGACTATATTTACAGTAAGAAAGAATCCACTTTCAGCCATAAAGGAAAAAGCAGAATCCTATACAACAATAAAATTTTAATCCCCAGGCAATGAAATGTATAAATGCAAGTTAGTATCTGAGTTCACAGCCTAGCAAAAAACTAAGGATTTGGGTGGATGTAAATTTTTAAATAAAAGGACTAAGTATAAATGCAAAAGAAACAAAAAAGACTTAAGAACTTTAAATGTATGAAGTGAATGAATAAAATATAATCTAGTTAATTCAAGGCTGGAAAAAAGTGGCCACATTTTTCCACTTAACCCAAGTTTTCATTTTAACCCTGAATATGTAAGCCTAAAAAATGTCTATATTAACTCCTAAACCAGTGAAGACTTTTAAGTTGGTATGCCTTCAATAAAGAAATAGTTTGGATCAAGTACTTTATGCCTGAAATGACAAAATAAAATCTTGGATTTGGCTGGATATAGTAGTGTACATCTGCAATCCCAGTACTCTGGGAGGCTGAGGCAGGAAGACTGCAAGTTCAAGCCCCGCCTGGGCAACTTAGTGAGATCTTTATTCAATCTAAAGGTCTTTGGTTTAATTTCCAGTAACAACAACAACAATAAAAATCTTGGGTTTGGCATGCAGAACTGGAAAGATACTCAATATTAACTCATAACTAGGTAGAAAAGATCTTGAAAATGGCTTGTTTGTCCTGAAGTTAGAAAAATAGCAATTTTTTTTTGAGACAATGTCTCACTATACAGTTCAGGCTGTCCTTGAACTCACTATGTAGTGTATGTTGGCCTCAAACTGGCAGGGATCCTCCTTTCTCAGCCTGAAATTACAGGTATGTGCCACCCCGCAGCAGAAAGGTACACATTTTGAAGTTGTGATGGGACTAAAATAACTAATTTAATAGAAAAGCCACTGGGGCTGGGGATTTAGCTCAGTGGCTTAAGTGCTTGTTTGGTAAACTCAAGGTCATGAGTTCAATCCCTTGTACAAAAAAACCCCAAAAGACAAAAGCCACCATTCTCTGGGTCCACTCATATTTACCTTTCAAACCAATCTGTGGGAAAATATGTTTGACTCCAGTATCTGAAAGCTTTTGGCAAGTTATAAATCCTGAATGGCTGGTTCTCTACACTTAAATGTTTAAATGAAAATACAGAGAAACTGAAAGTACTTTTTCTAAACAGACATTCTACTAGATTGCTTAAAAAATATACTGAGGAGAAAATTCACTTGCAGGTATCAAACGTAGTAGTACCATGTTAATCGGGCTTATCATTCTCTTAAGTGACACTATAGTTAACAAAGGCTGGGGAGCGGGTAGTTCAGTGGAAGAGTGCCTGCTTGAAGCCCTGGGTTTGATTCCCAAAACCACTACACACTCAAGAAGAAACTAGTGACAATACTTTATAAGATTTTTTTTTTTTTTTTTTGAGATGGGGTCTCACTATGCAAGTCAGGCTGGCCTCCAACTTGCAGCAATCCTGCCTCAGCCTCCCAAGTGCTGGGACTACAGACATGAGCCACCATGTCCAGCTTATAAGATATTTTTATATGTACACACACACACACACACACACACACACAAACACTTAAGAGATCAGTGCAGAATGTGCATCTGCAATCCCAGCTACCTGGGAAGCTGAGGCAGGATTGTTTAAGCCCAGGGGTTGGAGGCAAGCCTGGGAAACACAGCAAGCCTCTATATCAAAAAAGACAAAAACAACCTGAGCATATGATGCAAGCCTGTAGTCCAAACATTCTGATTGGCTAGGCAGGAAGATGGCAAATTTGAGCACAGCCTGGGTAACTTAGCAAGACCCTATTCTGAAAACAAAAAATAAAAACGGGCTGGGGGTGTAGCTCAATATGAATCCCCTGGGTTTTGATTTCAGTACTGGGATAGAGGGGACAAGGGGAAGTGGAAAGGGAGGAGGAGAGATAGGTTTCATTATTTTCAAATATACCTATGCTTAAACTAGCATAAACTTTAAAAAATTTTTTTAATCAGGTGAATAAAAATTAAAATGTTTCTAAATTATAGTAAAATATACATAACAAAAAGTTACTATTATAACCATTTTTAAGTGCATTGGTCAGTAACATCAAATAGTCACAGAGTCTGTAAGCCATTCAGACTTTAAAATAAATTTTTAATAGTACCGTTCATATGCTGACCTGCAGAATAGTGAAGACCTTAATAGGTTTGAACTGTTTTACTGTTGCCCTTTGAGTCAACTGCAAAATACCAAAGATAATTTATTCTTTTACAATAAAAATTTTCTGTTTACTGGAATTTTGAAATCTTCCTTTGTTGAAGAAATGTATAAAGACTCCACATGAAAACCAGAATGTGTAACTGCACTCAGGATTACTATGAAATCCATCACTAATCAAACTGATATGAGGTTCCTTTCAAGTTAGCTGTTGCTTTAATCAAGTCCCCCAATGAAGGAATTTCCAATCACAAGTATAAATCTCTGCAGTAGTACTTCTTTACAGAGTTGTGTAACTGAAGCTCTTTAGGAAAGAAAAGACACCCTTTTATTTCTAGACCTCTACTTCAAGTGCAAATTAAACAATTCAATTCATTAGGTTGCTTTTTGGCAGTGTACTCACAGGTCTCACAAATGACTTTTCAGAGACATATCTGGGGAGCTCATCAGCTGGCAGACCTAGTTAACAGGCCAACAGGGCACACACTGGCTTCCTTCTTTACCCTCAATTTTCTTTTGATATGTCACTAGACTATAGACGCTTAAATCTTACTAATCCACATTCTGGGTGTTAAGTGATATGGCACCCAACTAGGATCAATTTCAGATCTTAATCAATCTGCAACTATTTTTTGTTGTAACTAAAAATGCAAAGAACTGCCACCAAACTGGATAATAGTAGTAAATGCAGTCAGAAAAGGATAAGCTTTGTTTCTACTGCTCAATAATGACCTCCCCTTCCTTTTTCAAATCACCAATTTTTAGAAACTAGTGTTCTGTACTGCATGTATTCAAGGCACTTTTCTAGTTAAGAAGAAAAGCAAGTATAGCTCTGAAATTCAAGTAAAAAAGTAGCTTTGATTCAAGTAATTGACTTAAAATATTACAGGTACTTTAAAGGTTTACAAGAAATATGATTCTCATAGGTTGCACCTGTCATCCAACTGTAGGCCTGAGACCTCAAACACAAAAAAAGTACTGCTTAAATACACATAAAATTTGAGGACAACATTAAATCCACTACCAGTGGTCACAAGTTGAGTCTCGCCTCGCCTGATTTCAGCAATGGAATCACATTTCTTAATCCCTTAGTATTTGAAGACTATATAAAGCTCCTTTAGGGCCACTTGTTTCCCACAACTCTGAGCTGCCAGGAAGTTAAGACAAGGGCATCTAGAGGCCTTAATGCCAAAACTGGAAAGCTTTAGGCTAACACCCTGATTAGAGATTAACTACTCCTCTGAAAATCTGAAGCATATTTTGAATGCTTCTCGACTTTCTCATTTTTCTGTGTGCAGACATCGTCTCAGTGCTGTATAATAATTAGTCATACTGTATGCTCTATTTTAGATGCAGTATACAGTACATATATATAGAATGGCCCATTGTGCTGGGAGCTGTGCATGGACCCATTTGCTGTGAGCAGGGTGGCAGCGCCAGGGGGGGGGTTCAATGGGTGCGCTGGTCTGATAATTAAGAAATCCTCCCTGCTACCTCCTATTCCTGAGAATTTCCCTCGATGTATGATGAGCAGGGGTGTGGGGGTAGGGGTGAGTGGCTCCCAAAACTACTCAGGGATTGAAGGGTACCTGAAGTGGCTCAGCTTCCCACCCATCCTGGGAGGTCCTCACCTCCAGCTTGTCCGTCAGCTCCTTGTGCATCTGCTCATACTGCCTGCTCATGTCCTGATTCCTCTCAAGCAGCGCCTTGCCCAGCCTGGCGGCCAACACCAGATCTTTCTCCTTCTGCCTGATCACTGACAGCAGCTCGGGGTCTTGGGTAGGAGGCGGCTGCAGACCAGTCCCCTCGGCCGAAGGCCCAGGCTCGGCCTCAGGATGCTCCCCAGGATCGGACGGTCGCTCCCCAGCCGCCAATAGCGCCAGCTCCTCCTCTAACGCCAGTTCCAGCTCCCCGGGGCCCCCGGGGAAGGAGACGAGGGCGGCGGCGGCGGCGGCGGCGGCAGCGGGACCCCGAACTGCGTCCCCGGCCGCAGTGGGAAGCTCCATGCAGCAGGCGCTGTCCGGCTCGGCGGGTGCTGAAGCGCGGCTGGCCAAGCCCAGGCAGAAGGCGGACATGGCCCGCGCGCGCGGAGCCCGCAGCGGTGCAGCCCGGCCGGCGCGCGCCAGGCTGCAGGGGGGAGGGGCCCCGCCGCGCCGCCCCGCGCCTCGCCTCGCGGCACGCGCCCCCCGGGTCCCCGCGAGCCCTGGGCAAGGCGCGCGCCGGCCCGCCCCTCCCCCGCACCGGCGGCACGCGCCCCCGCCCTAAGCTGCTCAAGAGCGCTGGGGAGAACGAGGAGGAAGAGGAGGAGGAAACGAAGGAGGAGGTGGGAAAGGGAAGGCCGAAGAAGGGAAGGCTGAGGGAGGCGAAGCAAGAAGGGAGCTTGCAAGGAAGCCTGCTGCTGCTGCCGCTGCTGCCGCCACCGCCGCCGCCGGGTGCTCAGCCGCCTTGCTGTTGCTGCTGCTGCTGCTGCTGCTGCTGCCGCCGCCGGCCCGGCAGCGCCTCACGGGGCGAGCTGCGTCCCCTCGTCGCTACGACGCTCGCTGCTACTGCTGCCAGCGACCGCTCTCTGCAGCCGCGCTCCATGTCCCTCGACTCGGCAACAGCCCCGGCGGCAGCAGCGGCGACGGCGGCGGCTGCTGCAGAGGCCGGAGTGGCGGCTCCACATCGCGAGCCGGGCGAGCGCTTTCCTGCCTTTCCCACTCCTCTCGCTCACCCGGCCGGCCGCAGCCGCCCCGGGTTTCCGGCCGCGCCTCTCTCCCCGCCCCTCGTCGGCGCCTGACGCGCGCGGGCACCTGTTCGGCGCGCCTGTGCGGGATTCGCCGGCTCGCGGGTCTCCTCAGCCGCGCCCAGGTGGCGCCGGCGGCATTAACCTCTGCGCTTCCTCACGCCGGGAGGGCCACTGCGCGCACCACCAAAGCGGCGCCTGACGCATCCCTTAGGGTCCCATCACCCCGAGGGCGTGGACACCCCCACCTCCGGTGCACTACGCTGCGAGGCCCCGCCCCTGGCCTCGCTCTCACCTCGGGGCGTGACCCCGCCCCCAGCGCGCTCACCTCGGGGTGTGGCCTCGCCGGGGCTCCGCTAGCTCGTAGGGAGGAGCGAGGCCCCGCCCCCAGCCTCGTTCTCACCCTCGAGTATCGCTCCGCCCCCAGCTTCACTTCACCTCTGCGTCCTGGCTGGTTTCGGAGTGAAGGGCTCGGTTTACCCTCTTAGGTGGTGTGTGGGCCGGGGAACCGGCGACGTTCCTTTAGAACCGAGAGTCAATTCCTAAGAGATTTGCAGTCTGAGAATTTAGATCTGGGACTCCACGCAGAGCTAAGCAAGTCAGGAGAGGGAGCCCTAGAGAGCACTAGGAGAGATGACTTCGGAAACTCGGCGTCTTAATGATGATGACTCAGTATTATGAAGGACCAGATGCTTCAGAAAGCAGCAGCCCGGGAGGGGTTTATGTAGAAAAATAACAGAAAATCTGCTCAGAGATGAGAATACAAAGCAAACAGTCTCCCTAATAATATCTACAATTTATCTGGCAGTTAGTGTATGCCATCGTGTACTGCACTGTTTTGTATGCATCATCTCAGATAATCTTCACAAGCACCTTGTAAAAGCACTGTCACTTTTCTCATTTTACAGAGGAGGATACTTTACAGAGGAGGCCTGGGATTCATATCCAGGCATGTTGCCTCCAGTATTCACATAAATCATTATTTACTTGCTTCGCATTTGACCGACAGTCTTGAGGGAGATAAGTGATACTTTATGACCAAGATGGATTGACACAATGTAGAGGGAGAGCTTTCTCCAGTGATTGAAAAAAGAACCGAGAAGTCTGCTGAGTGCTTTCCAGTCAGTTCTTGCTTTGGATTCTTTGATGATGCTGTTTTCTATTTTCAGAAACAATCCTATCCAAAGCCAGAATTGGATCTTGTTTCTTTTTCCTCTTGGATGACAACCTATTTTTGAGTTAGATCATACTTTGACTCTCTTCATCTTGGTGAGAAAAAATTTCGGAATACCAAGGGTCTGAAATAGGTCAAATGGTTTCTTACGGTTTTTATCCTTTATTAAATACATACCCTAAACAACATTCAGGGGTTGCCGTATAATTTCAGACTGAAGATAAGAATCTGAAAACTTCTGAGCTTCCTTCAAGGCTGGCTTTGAAAAGGAGACAGACAACAGGGGTTGCCACGTCAGTCTTAGAGCTGAATGTCTACACACAACTAAGGTACTGTTCCAGCAATGGAATGTTCTAACACTTTTACATCTCACCTTGACCAGAAATTGTGAATCCTGGTGATAGTCAGTTACAAATCCCCCTCTTTTTTTTTGGTACCAGCGATGACCTCACGCTTGCCAGGTAGGCATTTACACCACTGAGCTAAATCCCAGGCCTTACAAGTCCTTTCTGTCTTGTTTGATTCACAGAAAAATAAGTTTCTCCCTAGTCTGTATGGAGACACTCCTATGGAGAACAAACAGCATTCCTGATTAAAAGGTTCTTACTCAGCTATTTGTTTTTCCTTGATACAAATAGGCAGCCTGTTGCCAAAAAAGATTTTGGCTTGTCCATGGGGTTTTCCCCCCCTAGTGGGCCTGCTATACTGCCCTTAGCTATGACCATGGAAAGGAATGAGTAAGGTCCTACTCTAATCCCCTAACAATGTTCTGCCTGCCCTAACCAGGAAGTGATTGCTTCTTACTGGAAGATTTGGCCTTAAATCCTATATTTCTGTGAATGCCAATAGAAGATCAGTTTAAGTTTAGAGAACTATTTAAAATAATAGTTCTTAAACTTTCTGGTATCAGAATAACCTTACATTCTCAAGCAACATTGAGGATGCAGCCAGCATGGTGACTCAGTCCTGTTTAGCACTTGGGAAGCTGAGGCAGGAGGATCATGGGAAATTTGAGACCAGCCTGGACTACAAAGTGAGCCAAGGCCAGCCTGAACTGCAAAGCAAGATACTGTCTCAAAAACACACACAACAAAATTACTGAGGACATAAAAAACCCTTATTTTATATAGGTATAGGTATTTATATTTACCATATCAAAAACGTAGGAGAATTTTAAGCACTTCACTGGTATCACTCTCCATTTTACAGGAGGAGGAAACTGAGGCCTCAGATTTGAATACAGGCAGATTAATTCCAGAGTTGCTTATAATAAATCTATTTCTAAACTTTAAAAAATGAGTTTTGTGGCAGGGCATTTAACTCAGCAGCATAAGTGCCTGCCTGGTACCCCCTCAAAAAAAAAAAAAGATTTTAAAAAAATGAGTTTTACAAATCTCTACAATGTCTAATTTAAGAGGGAACTGCATTCTTATATCTGATTCTCTATTTAATGTAGCAATATTTTGATTGCACTATATATAGAATATCTGGTTTCACAAGATATGTATTTTGGGAAAAGGAATATTTTAATAGTTTTCAAACAATTGTGGATGTGTTTCTTTGTTATTACGTCAACACTTGAAAAGTGATGATTTCTTGAAAGTTAGTTGCAGTGTGAAAGTTGAAATCAACTCAAGGACACCAGATGATCTGTGTATCTTTTGAAATGATCTTTGACCTAAGTATGATTGAGCCTGCAATAGCATGCATTTAGAAAACATAGTTCACTGAGTTATGTAGATCTTCCAAATACTGTCACATGCCACTCTTTTGTCACATACCATTTTATGCAATATAAAAAGAACAGTATTCATTCAAACTGTGTTACTACTGATCTCATCATAAAAATACAATTTTTTTTTTTGGTCTTTTTCGTTTTTATCGGTACCGGGGATCGAACTCACGACTGCCTGCTTGCAAGGCAGGCACTTATGACGCTGAGCTAAATCCCCGGCCCCAAAAATACAATTTTTAAGTATTGGGAAGTTGTTAAGCTCACTGCGATGTGTCCAAGTTTCCCAGAACCTTTATTTTCACTTCCAAGTTTAAATTTTATCATTGATATCAAGTAATGTCAATAGTGAGGTCTTGAATTAAAGTGTTGCTTTATTAACTTTTGAGAAAATGTTTGCCAAATCTGAATATCACAGTTTGTCATTCATTCAAGTAAATATGGTGTCCCATACAAATATGCTAGTTTAGCCCAGAACTCAAAACAATACACGTATGCCTTATCTCAAGTTAACCACTGTATCTCAGAATTCAGTAAAAGTGCTATATGATAATTCTTATATAGACTATCAAAAATACTCCTCAAGGGATTGATTGGATTTAATGAAAGTGACGCTGCAGCAGAGACATTCTTAAGTGATACTAGCTTTTTCCCCTTTCTTTCCATGAATACACTGGAGTAAAGAATAATGTGTCTACCAGTACACCTTGGTAACTGTTGAAGTTTGGATCCTAAGTGTCCCCCAAAGCTCCCTGTGATAAATGCTTTGGAGGTGGTGGATCCTTTAAGAGATGGAGCCTAATGGATGGTCTTTTTTAAGTCACTGGGGCATGTTCTCAAAGGGGACTGGAGGAACCCGGTTTCTTTCCTCTTCTTTCTTTTGCTTTCCAGATCTGAGGTGACCAGTTTTATTCCTCCGTGTGCTCCCACTATCCTCTGCTGCTTCACCATAGTCCCAAAGCAATAGGCCCAACTGACCATGGACTAAAACCTCTAAAACTGTGAGCCATTCTAAACTTTTTTGGTATAGGTTGATTATTACAGATTGATGGTAATAGAAATCTGACACAGTATCACTATCTTAACTTATGTTGAGGTATCAATAGTGTTACCCACTATTGTTTTTGCACTATCAGTGCAAATGACAACACTTTAAAAAATAATATTTCACAATTAGCATTTCTATGAAGTTAGTTTTTTTATTATTAAATTTACTATTATTACAATGATTATGAAAATAATTTTGAGTAGCTTTCCTGAAAGTCTCTTTGGAAACTTCAAGGGTAATTGTAGCCACATTTTGAGAATCATTGACTTAGATCTATCCAAGGTCATTAGCTCAGGATCCATGCATGGTGGTGCATACCTGTAATCCCAGCATGCAGGAGGCTGAGGCAGGAGGACTGCCCTGAATCTGAGGCCAATCTTTGGTACATAGTGCATTCAAGGCTTGCCTGAATTACATGGTGAGGCTTTGTCTCAAAAAAACTGAAACAGGGGCTGGGGATTTAGCTCAGCGGCATAAGCGCCTGCCTTGCAAGTGTGCAGTCGTGAGTTCAATCCCTGGTACCAATAAAAAAAAAAGACAAAAAAAAAAAAAAAAAAACTAAACAAAAGAACATTAGTGTTCAGTCT